GTGGTCAGTCTTACTGATCCTCAGTCCTCTAGAACCAGAGCTCCTTTTCTTTCCTGGCACATCAAGGAAACCTATCAACTTTTAAGGAAGAATGCATTTTGTTTGCTAGATCTGAAACTTACAGAAAGTAAGGGCAAGATTATACCACTATCTACATCTATTTGTCACTACAGTTCTTAAACAGCTTTACTGCTTGGCAATACATTTTATTTGGAAAGGCACAGTAAAACAAATCTATTACCTGGAATAAACAGGAGAGCGCTGCAGTACCAGGAAAACCTACCAGAGCCTCTAACTAATGATTTACAGATTCCCCTTGGACAGAATGGACTGAAGTGTTGTTTTCCCCAAATTAAGTTTCTGTCTGTAAGGTCTTCTTTATTGATAAGTGATGGGTGGGGGAGGAAGGGGTACATGTGTGAGGAAAACTACCATCAAAAAGCTGAGTGCAAAGATAAGGATTTTTATGCAATATAATGTTGCACAAGCTTGCACAACTTCCAACCTATGGGCCAGGATATAACCTATAAGGAAATTTCCTGACTCCCTGGGTGCTAAGAAGTGCCACCAAGTAGATTGACTGAGCAATTTGATCATGCATAGACACTGGCTGTCCAGTCCTACCAAGGAGGCAGCATCTATCAGCCAGGCAATTGGCCAGTCAGAATTGACATGCTTCCTGGCAGGAAGGGATACCAACAGCATTGCCCAGAAAAAAGGCATTCATGTTCTGGCCACCTGCCAGAAGAGTGCACACTGCTTCCTAGCTACCAGCACAAAGGGGATGTAACTGGGATAGGATAAGGCAGAAAATAAGAGAGAAGTGGCTGGTATCAGAGTAAGAAGGGCTATAGTGATAACAAGGAATAGAAGGATGGGAAGAGCTATTACAGCAGAAGAGAAAGGTATGACAAAGTCTAGTGGTGACAACTAGGAGTTTCAACAGCTCATCCATTCAGGTAAGCTAAGAAACCTTGATTTGACAGCTTTGCAATTACGTGATATAAAACTACTACACATAGTTTAGAACATACATTTGATCAAACACTGGGTTTAATGTCTTCTTTGATACATGTGTTTTTCTTCTTCCTGATCGTCTCTTATCAGGCAATAAATACATTCGCACATATGGGTCGGATCCTTCTTCTGAAAACGCTATTAGATTTCTGTAACCAGTGAAAAACAAGGAAAAACACTTACAAAATAAATGAGACATTGCTGAATGTAAGTGTCTACAGTACTATCACTTAATTTAGTACATGAATCAGTTGTGGAATATCCTGCACAAAGTATCATGTGCTGGATACAGCACATAGTTAATAGCAGTGGTAAAGAAAAACTAAAAAAAAAGCCAAGCAGTGACTAGTACATGATCAGATAAATGGTGAGCAGACAGCAGAGGTGGGAATACAATGTTTCTTAAATTCCAATTCAAAGTTTAGATATGGCTTTCCAAAAATCCTGTGTTTTTGTCATTCCATGAAAAATTCAGTCTCTTAGAGATAGCTTTCAGACACTGCTGATAAAAATCTACATGCCATTTTCATTTAAAATCTGACAGAGGCATAACAGACAAATACAAAATCACAGCAAAATCTTCAACAAAGTTTTTACTGATTCTGAGTATAGCTCTGTATGTTTTTGTATTTACATGTAATTACAATTAGTATGTTATTTTAAAAGTAACAAAGATCATCCAGACAACCAATTTAAGAGGATAAAACAAGATATGACAAAGTTTACAAAGAAATAATGCGCAGAAATGAAATTTGGTATTTTATGCTTATGAATGCACTACCACAATCAGTTTGTTTCTTTGTGAACTATGACGAATTGTTAGCTGAATCTGTCCTAATGGAGACTGCCCCAGAGTTGTTCCACTGCAGGAAAAAGTATTAAAAAGTAGAACACTATGCTTAGTTTTTAAAACACATATTTAAAGTAAGACCTAACTGAAATATATGCTGAGTGGTTTTCCCAGAAATCATGTATTGTCCATTTAACTTTTCACTAGACCAATGTGAAAGAAGAGAGCAGATGTTAGCATATGAGCATATCTTCACCAGTTTCTTCTGCTTCAGTTCCTTGTCCAACAGCTCTACTCTCCAAAATAAGCTAGGGATTCTTGTCAGTTTAGAGGTCAGCTGCTCTTCAGTACTTTGAAAACCATGATCAGTAAAGAACTTGCTTACCCTAAAACTAACATTAAATCAGTATCTAGGAAATTGGAAAGAATAATGGTGCAAACGGCAATGAAAACCTCAGTGATGGGCCACTCTTACCTATGGACAGGAACCAATCAGAAGACCAGCTCATTCTTTTCTGAATTCTCTAACATAGAAAACAAATATTCTTGGCTTAAAATAGTGATTCTTAAACCCACTTACTGTCTTAAAAGCTCAAATCACAGTATAAACACAGCCATTTTACTTTTCTGTAGCTCAAGCCATGTTGAAAATAATATTAGAATCAATTTACGCTTACAAATACACGTCATGCTTAAATAAAAAGCAAGCACCATGATTAAGAATTTCTGGTTTATAAAATGGCCAATATTTGCAGAATTCCCTCATCTCTATAAAATGCTTATTTTAGTCTGTGTAAACTGACTATCAGTATTTTCCGTTTCACACAGGAGAGTGAGTATATGGCATGCTCAGCATTTCTCAACCACCTGAAGGATATCTTAACCTCAAGGGAGAGGCGTGCCTCCTTTGTGAATAGCTAGTACAAAGTGATTGCAGGATGTTCCATTAAAATTCCCAAGTCATTCACTTTAAAAACTAGAATGAAGCATTTCAGTTCAGTATTTTCTTAGTTAAAACAAAAAAAAACCACAAAAATCAGAGCATGTAAAAACATGGGGCCTGCAATAAAGGACCTCCTTAGCTGTAGCCTTACCACTCTTATCAAATGAGAAAGTATGAAATTTGTGTATTAAATAAGGAGTAGTATTACAACATTTATCATAATTACCAAAGTCTAACCCAGTTTTGGGCCAGAAGAGAGACTGACAAACTGAAGACAAGACAGCAGAGGACCATAAATATAAATGGGGGACTGGAGCACATAAGCAGATGGTGAAGGAAATGAGCTTGTACAAATGGAAGAGAAGGCCAACAGCAGGTTCAACTGCAGTCTTTCACTACTTAAAACAGACATTATAGAGAAGACTGAGTCAGACTCATCATGGCTGTGCACAGTAAAAGAACAAGAAGTCGCAGCAGTCAAGTTGCAGCAAGATAAATTCCAACTGGAAATGAGGAAACAGTGGAATGGTTAAACACCGGAATTGCTGAGAAAGTTTATAGTATCTCCATCCTCAGAGATATTCAAAACTTGTTTGGACAAGGTCTAAGAAACCTGATCTAACTTTGAAGTGGGATTTGCTTTGAGCAGAGGGCTGACCAACCTCCAAAGGTTTCTTCCAACCTGTATTACTGTATTGATTGATAGAGAAAAAGATGAATCGGTTCAATCCCTTAGAAATAAAAAATTAAAGTCTTTCTACTTAGATTCACAGAGAAGCTACATGAATAGAGAATTAATCATTTCCATTCTCCTATTCAGAGCAGAATGGCTGCTCAGCTATCTTTACTGGCAAGTACAGCTGCCCATTGAGGCAAGCAAAAAAAAATTAGGGAATTTAAGAAAGCATGGCTGCAGCAATCCTCATTAATTGAACAGTAACTGACTATTCATTTAACATTCTTCATAGTCAACTACCCTCTGAGTAATTTTAAAAGACCAGCTATATTCAGCTTAATTGGCTTAATATTAATGCTAATAGGATTCAGTGGTGAAACAGGCAACTATTGCCATGAAAGTGATTAATGTTGTATTGAAAATATCCTTCCCTTTTGCCATCCCACTCTTTTTAGCACTACACAGTGTAGCCATGAGAACAACGTGGATTTTACCTTGCAGATCATCGCAATGGTAAGGTAACTTCTAATGGCAGAATCTGTCTAACTGAGGTACCAGAAGAAGCAGAAAAATCACTGATTTTCAAATGCCAGGCTCAAACTACAACAGGAAAAAATATTACTGAAATGTAACCTAAGAACTCTTTCTTCGGCTGCACTGATGACATTTTTTATAAATCAACTTAGATGTATTGCAAAAACAAGTAATTAACACCGTACTTTTCAAGCTGTCGTAGTCTTTGCCGTAGCTCCTGTGTGGCGATAGGCAGAGATATGTCTGAGGCTATGCTAGGAGTGGGTTCTTTGACTGATAGGTGGCTGGGAGAATAAGAGAAGTTAGAGGCATGAAGACTGGAGGAACTTCGGCTGAGATCTGTTGGCCACTGAGGGCTGGCATTGGGAGGCTGACTTTTTTCAGCTGTATCAGTCTTTCTATCACTATCAGTCACTGGGGAAGCTGGAACAGGTTTGTTTGAATCAGGTGGCGGTGAGACAGGAACCTGAGGCTTAAAAGATGATTTTCTTGCATCTTTGGAAAGAGATGGCCTTTTTACTTGGGCTGAGTGTTGATGGTCTGGAGATCTTGCTTGCTTTTCAAGAGAAAGGACCTAGATATAGTAAAAATACATATAATATTACTATTTTCCAGTATAAAAAACAGGAACAAATTTGTTTCTACAAGAGTCCTGGTTGGTGACAAGTTGTTAAGTTCAGATACTAATGCAGGACCAAAAATACTCACACTTGTACTCATTCATCATCTTTGTGGCAACTGCAGTAACTGTAAAACAATGTCAAATTTTCCATTCATTTACAACTATTCTCCTCCTTATTCCCTTCCCATACTCTACACACTTCTGGTGCAAGAGCTATTTACTTTGCAGCTTTAGCCACCTGGAAAGCTATTCTATAATTTTTTTCTTCTAATCTTTTGAAATTTAATCCTACATCACAAGCTCTTCTCACTTATTGTCCTTACTTTCTCTTTTACAGGTTATTTTCATTTATTAGTGACAAGGAAGCAACAAAGTAAGTACTTGTCATTTATTAATGACAAGTAAGCTTTAGAAAAGAACAAATAACAGAAGTTAACAGAAGTTTGACAGTGTTTGCAAAGAGATACACTACCTTATTAAACCAAATAATTTAGCTGGGGAAAAAGACAAACCAACTTTCAGGTATGCAAGTTTCATCTTCAAAACTCCAACGTGCTTGAAAGTTGGTCTGAACTTTTCTAGTACTATAAACTTTATTCTTTTTAAACCATCATGACCTCAGTTCCATTTCTATAAGGTAAAGGTGATTTCACTGATCTGTAGCCTACTGAGTCATAAGAGACTTGAAGGAATTCCGATTCCAAACATGATTTCCAAACCTAAAACCATGGGGAACCTCAGTTTTAATTAATGCAGCTGATCACTGTTTTGTTTGGAGAATTTTCTGGTTTTGAAACAGAATGTATTTAAATCAGTGGTTATCTTTCTGTACTTGATAGCACTGCCACAACTAAGGACACCTGGCATTGTGACACCCAAGGAAATGTACTATCTTCTTCATAAAGCTAGAAGACCAGAAGTCACAATAGTCTTAAATATGCTTTCAGATATTTACAATGGGAAAAGTTTTAGAGTACCCTGAGTGCAATCTTCATGTTTATAGTGCTGTTTGGACCAGAGTTGCTCAGGTGGAACCGCTGATGCATAGTTAAATCTTCACTCTCCAGCAACTGGCTTAGAGGCAGTTTGAAGTTCCCCAAAGAACACTGGTGCTGTTCGTCCCTCACCTGAAGGAATACAGAAGCTAAGTCATTTTGTATCAACTGCTTTGTAAGAACTCAGAGAAAGAAAAGGAAATTACAGTTTTATTTAAAAACAAAAAATCCAAGCAATATCGAATGTAGTTTGTTCTTAAACCAAATTTCCCTGATCATAAGATTACTTTACATTGAAGAAGGAAATAGCAAATATACTTAATGCCTAGTTTCTTCATCCCTATCTTCTACAGCAAAAGCAAGACAGAAAACTAACCATCACTAAACTGACCCTTGATCAAATAACTACATGGTTTCCAAACAGTCTGTGTGAAAATGAACTCCCACAACTGTTAGAGGAAAAGTAACTAGGACAGTACTCATTTACACTTCAGTCTCTTTGAGCTATGTAAATGACATGTCAGCAGTGTAAAAGGATACAGTATTTGGATAAAGCAAAGACTTCCTTGGGATGAGACAGGAAACAAATCAGCCACACATAACAGCAATTCCTGCTAGCAGTTAAGACTGTTAGGCTTCGAAACAGGTATAAAAATTTACTTTTTCTCCTTTTTTAAAAATTTTTTTAAGTAAGACAACCATCAACTATATTCTTCTGGTGAGAGACTGGTTATAGCCTTTCTTCCTTTTAGTAGTAAATGCAAATAAACATTTCATAGCTTGGTCTTAAAAACCACTTTAAGTATAATTTTAATGGTGTTCACAATATATTCAGTCTCATTTCATAACAGCCTGTAACGTCTGAATGCTACTACTGAAATGTATTACAAAAGAAAGGTATCTAAAGAGAGTGAGACAACATACCTCAACTTCAAGATCTTGTCTTTTGGGATTGTGTACAAAGAAAGTAAAGTTTTCCTCCCATACCGGTTCATTGGTCTTGTATCGAATCTAAAGTTAGAGAACAGGAAGCATACAAATTATAAAACATTTTTGTGTAATAAAGCCAGTGTCAAGAGTTGACTACATTTTTTATTTTGGCTTCGCAAAATTAATGTCCAAAACCTGACATATTTAAACAAAGGCCAAGTAGGATCTATCCAAGGCATATATAATATCACATATAAAATTATACACAGGACATATAACAGAATATGTTTTGCATTAAAGTTGCTGTATGTAAAGTAAAACCCCTGCTAAAGAACCTTTATTTCACACCCAGTCTATGAACAAATGCAAGGTCTTCAGACTGGCGCATTCTCTTTCTTCTCATATTTCCCTATAACGGCTGAACTAGTAACTCAATGAAACTCCTAGAAACAAGTTTTTTTCCTTCTAATCTCCAAGTAGCCATGCGGAAGATTTCACTGCCAAATCTCACTACTTTCAGCAACCCATTAATTGGGAAGGCTGGGGGGGAGGGGAAGAGAGAAAAAAGAGAGAAAAAGCTGTCTCCAGGATCAAAGGACTTGAATTTCTATCTCCATTTTCTAATAAGTATCAAAATTAAGACTGTATATAAGATCTGACTTAGGCTTTGTGACAATTTTTGACAGGATATGAAGAAGCCAAATAAGATGTCCTCTCCTTTTCATTCACTGACACGTTTACTTTAAAACAAAACAAATCAAAACAAAACACACCCATATTGCATATATCTACCTATCTGGGTATCACTTCACTGTTGCTATTTTATTTTAAAGAGCTGTTTGAATGCACAGAGGTTAGTTATGGACAAGACGACAGGTACGTTGAACGCCTAGGGTCAAAATCAGAGGGATCACCATCAAGATCGACCTCATCACAGGCATCTGTTACAGACCACCCAATTAGGAAAAGGAGATGGGTGATGCCTTCTTCAGATGACTCAAAGCTGTCTCAGGTCTGCAGAACCAGGTTCTCACTGAGAGGTTCAACTACTCTAATGTTTTCTAGGAAAGCAGCACAGAGGTGCACAAGCAATTTAAGAGTCTGTGCTAGGAAAACACACACTATTGGTGTTACGGTTGTTCTCAATCATTGGATGTGTTGACTAGGAGTGGTGTTCTGAATCTACCACCTACAAATGAGGAGTATTGGTTTGCAGATGTGACTATCAACAGCAACCCTGGCTACAGTGACTGTAAGATCACAGAGCTTAAGATCCTAAGGGGCGTGAGGAAAACAAATAGCAGAATAAAAGCCTTGGATTTCAGAAAAGCAGATTTCAACTTGCTTTAGAAGGGATTCCATGAGTGTCTACCTTGGAGGGCAAAGGAGCTCAGGAGTGCTAGAGGACAGCCTCCTCAAAGCATAGAAGTGGTCCCTACCTCAAAGCAGAAAAAGCAGCAGACATAACAACAAAGTAGCCTGGCTAAACTACGAGCTCCTGAGAGCTACACAGCACTTTGACTAATCTAAGGCCCTACTTTAAACAGAAAGTTCAAGCAGATGATCTTCAGTGGTCCCTTTCAACCTGGGCATTTCTATAACTCTGTGATTCTGTAAATTTTCAAATCTTGGTCAGTATTTTGAAGCCTGCTGTTTGCCCACATTGTTATTTATATAATCACTACTGTAGGAATGCCAGTTGCAGATCAGAACCTACTGTGGGAGGACATCTACAAATAGTTAAAAATCTGGTCTCTACTCACAGATAGTTTAAACTGAGTAAGCACCCATTTAATCCTTGGCTTCTTGTTGGCAATTTCAGTTCTGGTGGTAACTTTTAGTGCAGTGGATATGCTCAATGGCTTGATAGCCAATGCCAAGCACACAGAGCCACCAAATGTTTGTAGACAGAGCCAAGTATAAAGAGTAGGAACTTACCTTACTTTCCTGTGCCTTATGTCCAACTGACAGCAAAACAAGTGGGTTGGGATTGCTGTTTATTTTCTTTCCTGACTGGTAAAGAAAAAGCAAAAACTTTGCCTTCAGAATAAAGCGAAACCTCTCTCCTCTGAAACTTAAATGTTTGTGTCTTAAAAATACAAATCATATGCATTCTGCTATATGCTTATTGATTATTCTCAGTATTTTATTCAACAGGCTTGAATGGCAGACTGGCTAGTTACTTGTGAACGCATTAACATGAAGGCATCCAACTACCCTAAATACGCTGAAGCAAAATGCTACAAATAAGCAGGAGTTTTAGACTCCTTTCCGTTTTCTTTGAATGAAATTGGTAAGGTGCAAATTCTTATTCTTTAATGAGCATTACAACACCCAAAGCTAAAGAAGCATAGTTAAAACTGCAAAATTAATATTGCATGCAGATGGGAGATATGGAGAAAGCACATACTCAGGAAGCTTACTTTAGTTACATTAGAGCAGTATTATTAAATTGGATGTAATATCAGAACATTGATATTCCCCCCTTTTCAGTTTGGGGAGAAAGAAGATGCCCTATAATGTACCTGATGTATATTTCTACAGTTTACCAAATACTCTTTATTACAGAATCAACCATCTGCCATATCTGAGCCTTGCTCACCAGGTGTATAGCATTACATCAAACTGTGAAAATAAACATCAGTTTAGAAACAAATTATATACACAAAGGAACATTCCCAACTACATGTTTCTTTCACAAATTTTAAATTAACCTAACAAAAATTTAAGTCAGAAAGAAAAGTTGGACATGAAAGTTAATCATCTCAAGGAGGTGTTAATGCAGTTTAAAAGGCCTAGAAAATATAGTATACATGGTTAATAATATACTTTGAATTCTACCACATAGGAAATTGTATAGATCAGGTATGCAAACAGAAAGTTAGTTAAAAGCTACGTAATGCATGTAAGGTCACAATTACAACCAAGTGATTAAAATGTTTTATATTTTTAAATTAAGAATGTGCATATTTTAGGTATTTTGGGATCTGAACTTACATTTTGGACATTGTACTTCCACTAATATTACTTGAATTTAATGTGACACACTGCTTATAACCATACTTTCCTTTAGGAAAAAAGTTGTTAAGAAAGCACTCCTTTCTTGGATGAATGCCGCATTTCTTTTTTTCATGATTTCTAATCAAAAATATTTAGCTCTCATCAAAGACAACAGAATACAAAGGTTTAAGGAACAGAAAGAAAGTTAGATTACACTCCAACTGATGGTGTTTAAAAATGGTAGGTGAAAATTGTTTCATTTTTTCTTTGTCCATAAAAAGGTGCCTGAAACTCCCTTTTCTTCATAAAATGATGAAACTACAGAAGTTGACAAAAAGACCTTGTTGCTTATGCTGATATGTAAATACAAATAATTTTAATTCACACTAAATAGGCAGCAATATGCACACACACACATAACGCACCTCTAACACCTGCCACTGACAGATTTGCTGTTGACAGTCTATTAGAAACTGCCTCTTGTCCAAGTTCCTCTAGCTGAGAACTTGGCTTATGCCTTCCAAGTTTGCCTCTCAACTCTATGTCTTCCATATCAAAAAGCTGGGCTAAATTTATTTAGCATTTATATAAAAGATGTAAAGCCTTCTAAAAACATCTAGCAGAAACAGGATTATTTCAAAACATTGTCAGAGATTGATTTTATTGGTCAGTCATTCAGAGTTGACCAGTAAAGTATCATTCAGTATGTAAAAGATGTTTTAGCTTTCATGTCAGCTTTGTTCTTTAGACACTACTTCAAATTAGTTCTCAGGACTATTTTTTTTCCCCAGTCTTCTAAAGCAGTCTATACTCCACTCAACTGGTCTAAAATTCAAATTACCACAGACCACAGTATTTTACCAATGCCTTGACCATTTCTTGAAACCAGATTTAAGTAAAATGGAATTGCACTAAATATATATCTGGCAACAGAAATTCCATCCACTGTTGGAATAGAAGGGTTGCAGGCATTTGTGCATTTCCAGTTACTTATGTGACCTTAAATGGACAACTATGTTAGTTTTACCTTTAGGGCTTTCTGAACAGCAGCCTTCTTCAAGCCATCAGGGTTAAATTCTAATGGATTATGCTTTTAAGTCAGGAGAGAATGAACATAGGAAGGGTTAATAAGTCATGCAATGAAGCAATTTCACTAGGTTAATTAATTATGACATGACAACATAGGACAAAGCGGGAAAAAAAATCAACCTAAAAAAACCCAAAAATCTTTCAAACAAAACAATGAAGGAACCACAACAACAACAACAACAAAGTCTGACAAAACTTTTTTTTTTCCTCTTGTTCTTTCTGAATGTTTGTATTCTGCTTTAAAACTAAAATACTAACTTTCAGTCCACTTATATTTCCCTTACCAGGTTTTTTTACCATAATAAAGAAACTTCACAAAATAGGTTTTATTGAATGCCTGACATCCTATGGACTGCCTTCTGAATGAACCTTTTTAAAATTTGGTTAAGTATATTTTCACAACATAGAAGCTTCTCTGATGGTAAGTCAAGTAATTATGCGAAGGAGTCCTTTTATGGGAGAAATTACTATGCTAAAAGTATTGATAGGACTTAGATCATTATAAAAATCTAAGTCATTTGAGCCTCTTCAGCAGATGAGTGATAGAAACACTGCATGCTAACTAGAATGAAGGTCTACTACTTTACTCAGTTGAATGAAGACATGCAAATACACTAACAATAGGAATTTGAACTGATTTATCAGGACAAAACCTCTGACTACTTTCCATTAATTAAGCAATTTTAAAAATTTTGTTTTAAGAATAATATATTGTTCTTGAAGTGAGACATGTAAAGTACAAAAATGTTACAGAAAATCTGCATTCAACTCATAAGAAATAATTTCAGGAAATAGGATTTTGAAATAAAACAGACTTCAAGTTAGTATACTTCTGGCTGGCTTTTTCTTTAAGAACAAATTTTTGTTTCAAGGGAGAGTTCTGCTTTAAAAGCTATAGTATGTGGCAACAAAAAAAATTGCATAATGGCCTTTTTAAACATGCTGGTTTATGAACAGGAACCGATATTATTAATGCTCTGCCAAAAGAACTGTCTTCAAATCCAAAAGTGACTAAAATTTGAAGAGAGGTTTAACCTTTGTGCAGAAATACTTTTTTACATTTTCTTTTGGAATATCATATCCTGAAGCTGGCCAATATATATGACAAGTTTCCTGGCATTCAGCTTTAAAATTTCTATTGCAGAATGAATATACAATATGATGAAACTGGAGAAAACCAGAAATAAGAAGGATTAGTCCATACATCTTACAGGCTACACTCCTCTTTCTGTATACAGTATGGTGTTTGTCTTTCATAACAGCACGATACAGCACGACTACACATGTTTCTGTAGAGCTATCCATCAGACAACTATTTCCATCCCATATTTATATAGGTGCCAATGACTGTCCTCTATGGAAAAATACCTTATTTTTCCAGATCATAGCCGCAATTCATCGAGATCATTTTGATCCTAAACTGCCTCTCACTGTACTGGCCATCTTTCTTTCACATTTGCACCTGCATATTCAGTACACATATTCTTTTTTCTCCCTATACTATTATTTCAAAGAATTTTAAAAGTCAAAAACAAACCTATGTGATCAATTATAAAGGCAGGCAACCAATGATTCCTGGATATTGAACATGTCTCAATTCCTCTGGAATCATAGCAAGGATAGGCCAGCAGGGACATCAGCTGGGGCAAATATGTTTAAGCCAGACTTCAGGTTTCAAGGGAAGGAGCTGCAGGTCCATGGGGATGGTGGCTGAAAGGCTGGGTGGGAGGAGACTAGGAGAAGAAAAGGGAGTATTCAATATAAAAAGCCAAGAAAAGGTCTTGCCTTGGGTGACAAAATTGTCTTGCTATGGTTCTGCAGTGTCTCTGCAGTTATAGGAAATGGGGACGGGTATCCAAGAACTATACTGATAACTGACACAGTGGAATAAATCAGATTTCAGGCTAGCATTCCGTAACAGCCAGTGACATTTGCAGTAAATCCTAATAACAAACCCATAAATTACACCACAACTAACAAGCCTTTTTTTTTATTAAGCTAGATCCTAATTCAACATGCTTTGGAGTACGACTCATTACTTCTGTTTACTCACTAAGTCTTGCTTGGGGTTAAAATGGGGCTTTAGAAGCGTCTAAATCTGTGACTGCATCCTCAATTGATAACCGGAAGACAGTGACTGATCTGTAAGAGCTGATTTAAAATATGAAGAATTTATATGTTATATAGACACCAAATTAAAAGAAAAATTGTTATGAACTAATGATAAGTATCATAAAACTAGTGTTACTTTTGGAAATTAGTACTAAGAACACTATTCATACTCCTTAACTTCAGATAAATCAGATTTAGATGGGTAAATGTCTGAATTAGGTGTCATGAATCTAGGTTCCCAGCAGTCAATAAAACTGTCTAGAAAGGAACAGAGAGCACTAAGGGCATTGGATTTTACTCTCCCTTTTAACACTCTCCCCCTCAAGTAAGTTATGTTACATGTCAATTAGATATCTGAACTTGCAGGTGTGAATGTTTGCATAATACCTTGTGTTTAAAGATGCCCTGAAAACAAGATGCAGTTTTATGACTGCTGAAGCTGTTACTATCTCTGGGCTACTACAGTCCTCTCCTCTCTCCTGGCCTCCAGCCATAAATCTCATCCTCTTGCTTGCTGCAAGACTAGCACCCATGCAACTGCAGAATAAGGCAGTTAACACCGGTGTTGAAGGAAATCCAGACCTGGCTATCTTAAAATGATCGCTGTTCCACTCTGACTCACAAATTGCTTCGGCAATGTCTAAATAGATGCTGTTATATGTAGACGACATGTCCTAATGCAAAGACCCTAAGATCAACAAAAACATCAGGGTTACACTCTTTATCAAGCATTTTGATTTTTTTTTTAATTATTATTTTTAGGATGTAACTAGTATTTTTATAACTAAAAGAAACAGCAACTACTTATCAGTTTTAATACCAACATAACTGAACCATAGCTTATGAACTGCATCTCTTATTCATTGAATTTTAACAAGATTTGGTAATGGATGTAATTTTTTTGATACTTTAAAATAAACTCCTACACAGAAACTAACTGAAAGGACCACAGAAAAGGGTTTTGTTGGGATGTGGGGGCAGGGGAGAAGGTGTTTTAAATCAAGGTTTATAAGCCAAAAGTAACCAGCCAGCAACAAATTTATCTGCACAATGGCATACCCACCTCTCTCTGGCAAAAGAGTTCTTATTCTGAACAGATTCTCATTCTTTTTGAACATACCAAGGTTGTGTTTACAGATTAAAGTGTAAGCTACTCAGAGGCTCATTAGATTGTGATAATCTTGTAACATTAAATTCAAGCAAAAAATATTAATTGGTGGTTCTCCCTAGCCTGGATTTTCCTGACTACATACTAATTTGAAAAAAAGAAGAGGAGCTTGGGAATTTGCAAAACAAGGAGCATCATGGAGTGAAATAGAATTTACAAGGGAATTTATAGTTTGGGGAGCACAAAGAACCACACCCATTTTTAAAGCAATACTTGAACCACTGTGGAGAGGTTGCAAGTTCTTACAAACATTGAGTGCATCACCTTTTAAAGAAACTACAGGGATGTCGGTTGTAATATTTATTAGTTTAATTTCTTTGCAATAAAAGCCAACAATTCACCAGCACACAGTGTGCTAGTATTGTATGCATTTTATTTCTCAATGAATCAGCAATTTAAGTTAAATGTAAGAGCTTTTACAACAAACTTATCTTGGGTTTTTATCATAAAAAGTTAATTACTTACCCAATGATATGCTGATCAATGAAATTTAAGTAGCCTTTAAAATGCAATAAAAATAGCACAAAAACAATGCACACTTGTTGAAACCATGCAGCAAAACAAATTGCATGCTCTCATTCCACTAGAGTGAATGGCTTTAGTAGCACTAATCCACACTCTGGCAGATAAAAGGTACAATACAAATAACACCAGAGAACTCACAAATAGTGCTCTATAGAGTGAGGTAGTGTTTTCACAAAAGACTAGTCCCGATGCTCTCCTCTCTTTTAAGTATCCACACCCAAAGTTTCCCTCGTAGATACTCTTAGAAAGATGGAAATGGAAGGAGAAAGCAGAGTGATGGGATTGTGGCAGAATGAATGCATAAGCAGCTTTACTACACAAAAAAGTTAAGGAAAACAGTCAAAGGATTCCAGAGAAAACAGCAGATAACAAAAAGTAAGTAAATATTTGTCATTACAAATAGCTTAATCTGTTAAATGACTTTCTGTAGTGCAGCAAGATGAAAAGTTTTTTGATTTTTATTTTTTATTAATTATTCAAATATATTAACCCACTTTCCAAGTTTACTCTTGGTAGTTCAGATTTATATGGCAGATCCAACTAAGTAAATTTAGAGACAAGCCTTCTACACCATTTCTATTTCACTTGGAACATATTTCAGATAAATCATCCCAGTGTCTCAGAAACCCACAACTACGATTCATCTGTGCAAACGAAATGCCTGTGCTGGGAATTATCCATTATAACTCAAACAAAACAAGGCTAATGACAAGATCTAAAATGTACCAGTGATAAGCATTGACTTAAGAAATCCATTTTGAAGGTAATAAAAAGTACTTACTCATCTAGAAAATATTTCAGCTGTAATATTAAAGTTGTGGACAAAAGTCTTCAAAACTATTAATAAGGGTCAGTGTAATTTTAACACTTCATTCCCTTCGAACTTTTTGTTCCCCATACATACAAGGAATCCAAAAGAGCAATTAATTTTACTATTACACTACATGACCCCTATCAACGAATATGAACACAACATGAGAAGCCAGTAGACTTTCATGTTTAGTCTTGTAAATGTTGTTCCATATTAGAATCAAATGGACATAAAAAAGCTGTATTTGCTATAATTCACTGCAGTTTGTCTAGCAGCTCCATGACATTATCTAAGCATTGTCTTTACAGAATCTATAGAAATCTTTTCAGTTCTCCCACATGAAGAAGTCTTCTCATGATATTTTTCATCCCACCTAACTGTGAAGCCTTTTTGTATCTGGTTTTGGACAACTCTAATTTAACACAGTAATGTATTATTTTATTGTTGTAAAGTTGTAAATGGAATTTTCAAGTGTTCAATGTAACTTTCTATCATATTCTTTATAACACATTTCTGGAAAGAAAATTACTTGAAGTTAAATACTGAGTCATTTGCAGCAACTGCTTTTCTAGGCTGGTAAAGCAATTAAAAAAAAGAGGGTTAAACAGGTCCCACACTACGACCATCCTTATTCTCAACCCACCCAGGCAATCTTGTACTGTAGACAGAACATCAGACACAGCAATAAGAAATTTGGGATCCTGTTCCCAAATTTCCTAACTGGTCAGCTTTGTCCAAGGAACTTCCACTTTCCATGCCCTGCAGTTGAGAGATCTACTGATTAGAAGTACTGATTAAGACATTGAAATTAAAATATTGCCCCCAAAAGTAGGTAGAAGTGAAGACTTGCAGCCTAACCTTTCTGAAAGAGGGAGACAATGTTACAGAATGTTTAAAACAAGGAAAAAAGGGAAAAAAAGAAACTTATGACAAAGCCTCTGAGTATTTGCTGGAGAAGTTAATTTAAAACAGAGAAGCAGAGTTGTACAGAAAAAAATTGGAAATTGTGGATGAGAGAACTTTAAACTATTCATTTTAAGTAAGAGGATCTAGTGTATTTTAACAAATATATTAAACTTGTAACAGTTTGAGTAAAATCCAGTAGTCAAACAAGAAAATACAGAAATGGGTTCAATTTAATCTAGTGCACAAAACAGATGGCCTACAGACTTTTTCTGTGTATTGCAGCATTCTGAAATTACTGTTAAGCACACAATAATTCTATTCTATTTCTGCTTACTCTATACTAGAGTAATTCTACTCTTTTTACTGCTAAGTTACAGAATTGCCCTGAATTCAATACAGTGAGGTTAAAAAGATAATGCAGGGCTTTATTCCAGATGAGCTACATCTTTTTAGCCTTTAAAATAACCTATAAATATTACTTCCAAACACTGCTCTATACACCCTGGAACAGACATGAAATCACTAGTCAGTGAGGTAAATTGTTTAGGCTACTAAGCTTTCATTTGTTACCACTCTGTTTGATGCAGCATTTTAACTTAAATTTAAGATGAGTGGACAAATTTGCAAAACGCATGCAAAAAAATCTGAGGCTTGAAAACTTCATTCTGTGATTAGTATTTTAGTCATCACTTCCAGAATTTCTCATCTAATAGCAATGCTGAAAAACAGCAAAACTCAGTGTTGTGCTTCACATATCTATTTATGATAGGGTGTACTTTATGACTGCTATCATTTACAACCAGGAACAGTACTTTACTAACCTGAAATAAACTACAAAACAGTCTGTGCTTGTCATAAACAAGCTATATCACAGTCCTATAGTATAAACCATATGACAGAACCATTCATTTTTTTGGTTTTATGTTTTGCACAAGCAAATAGACAATACTCCAAATGACAACCTGACAGAAATCTCATACAGTATTCTGCCACTGTAACATCAACTGTACAATATTAATTTCATGATGAGGACTTCAGCACCTTCAAATCTACCACAGATACCCAAAACCAAAGCAAGTAAGTTTACCTGAACTCAAGGAAGTGGGCCTTTTCCCAATTAGTTCCTTAAAATTCCTCATGCTAATCCCATACTATTTATGGAAAACATTGTGTAATAAAAACATGCAGCCTTTCAAGTCCAGGAAAGGAGCATTCTTTAAAGAAAAATCACACTGATAGGAGTAATGTTTTATTAAATATATATCTATAACACTATACTACTAGAAATGTGGACCTTACATTACATGTTTTGAAACGAGAGAAAGTATAGAAAACGTGGCATAATGTGTGTTAGTAAAGCAATGTGCCATACTACCAAGCAAGACATGCTGGAAGTACGCAAGAGATGCCCATGACAAAATGGTATCCATCAGAATATAACTTACAGGCAGGTTTCTTGCTGAGTCCAAATAGAGAATAAGCAATGCAGAAGAAAGCCCATCATTGGCTTGGTCTTTATCAGCTCTAATGCTTGTTAGCACCTACACCAAAAACATACTGTAAGCCTGAAAAATATTTTAAAAACATCTCCCAAAACGCAAACATTCACAAATGCACGCTATGAAGCATAAGAAGTAAGTTTTCAAGACTCATATACATATTTCAAACCCATTTTTATGGAAATTTCCATAAAATTTCCTAATGGTTTTTTTTTTAGACTGGACAGATTATAGTATCATATCCAGCTTTATCTCCCAGGCTAATGAAATGTTAGCTGATATTCTCAAACCATAACAACAAGAGAAAAGAAGAGGACAACAAAAGCATTTTAAAATCCCATGCCACAAGAGTATATTGACATTATGACTGGTTTCAGATTTCTAAAGACAAACAGCTCGGAAGAAAGTTACAGGTTTATCCAAATTCACAACAGCTAGAGGAGTAAATTACTTACATACTTAACAAAAAAAAAACCCCAAAAAACCACCACACAACAAAAATCACCCCACAACAATTAAGATTAGGATAAAAGTAATGTGTTCCTTTAATACCTTGTCTAGATTTTCAGCAGTTGGCATCAATGTGAGCCATTCCAGTTTCAAATGCAATTTTCCTTTGGACACTTCATCCAAAGTAAACCACTAAAAGTTAAGCAAAGTTATGTGAAATAACCTGACACCAAATAAAAATACATGATTGCAGTTCAGGCTCTTCAGGACATATAGGAAATGCTAAACTCTCTCTACTAGAAATCTCGTAGAGGTGAAGTCTGCATAACGTGAAAAGATCTGATTCATTGTTTAAAATGTCCTATTTCACACTAAATATTACAATACAGAATAACAAAAACAGCCATGCATGCCTCTATGTTATATAGTAAAAGCATTTTTAAAATATCAAGAGAATTCTTTAAGTTCTGTAAAGATGTTCTGGAAATACAAACCCTGCACAGCATTACTATAAAATCTCTCTTACATATAGGACAAAAATTAGTCTGCTAAGTCTAATAACAGTTAAACCAGGCAATTAACTATTCTCCTGCAAGAAAAAGCTCTCACCAAATATTTAAGTTACTGGTTTTTGCATTTACATACTAGTAATCTTAAAACCCCAAGACAGAAGAAGAATGGCATTATTCTTTGGATTTCACCAATTCAGATAACCCTTAAACCAATGTACTGATCATCAGGGAATCTATTTCTATAACATTAAGGTTATTCATGCACATACAGGAACTATGCCCAGGAAAAAAATAATAATACAAGAACAACTACATATACAACAGATGGGTTTTTTAAACCAAAACTTATTGAACACTTACCTCATCTAGAAGACGCTCCTTTTCAACTTCAATTAAATCTATCATCAAACTAGAAAAAAGAAAAGAAAAAAAGAAAAAAATCAGTATTTTAGCCAAGAAGCAAAAATTCAATACAGAACTCAACCCCCATCCTGCACTTGCTGAGTATCCAGGCTTCCACTGAGATCAAAAGAACAAATACTATTCTTTTAGCCCCTAAGAGAAGAAGAAGTAGGGAATGAAATGGCTGAACGAAGATGAATGCAGGATAACAGAAAATATGCCTATACTAGAGCCCATTTTGTAGCTACAAGGGCAACTGGCACAATATGGCTCACATACATATGACCAAACTCTCAAAACAGTGACCACATCCAAGCTACCCACTGGAAATAGCCCCTGGACATATGCTATGACCAAATTCATGCTTTGGCATTGTCCGGCAGAGTGCTAGTTCACACAAGCTAAAAATGTACCGGGAATCTGCTAAAAATTAAACAGGGCAGACAACTGCATGCCAGTGCATGAACATTTGTCGTGGCTTTGTATTTTATTAGTACTGATGTACACATTATGCCACTTTCCCCCCCCACCACTTCAGTGTAAGATTAGGGAAGTGTAAAGAAAAGAAGCCTTTGTACTACCTACTTCTTTACTTTAATGAGAAGAGAAGTAGGTACTGTTGCTCCTGTTAAGAGAGAAGGAGCTGGAAAGATAAGGGAGTTCTACTCTGTATGGAAAGCAACAATGGGAAGCTCCAAAACTCTGCAAGAAATAAAGGTGACAAATTACTGGAGAAAGAAGCTGACTAAAACCCTGAAATGTTTATGGGTAAACACTAAAGGTAGGCCTATGGAATCTAAGAGTGAGTAACGTTTGCGAAAGCATTACAGCAAATTTTTTTCTTTAACCAAATAGTTAAGATCAGCTCTTAGAGAAAAATAAACCGTGAGCTAGCCATTTAAAAACTATGAAGATGAAGAAGATACACAGTTATAAAGCTGTATTAACTTTTCCTGAAGAAATAATTAAGACTTAGTGCTAGCTTACGAACATTAAAGCAGGCAGGGTACAATTCCAAAAAAATAAGAAAAAACCAACCCTTTTTTTTTCCTCTGGGTACCCACAATACTCACCTTATTTTTTAAAAAATATATAAACATAGAGATGTGTATATACACACACAAGCACGTTTTTATATACATATATTTACATATATGAAGTAATTAGAGAACTACTTACTACCACCATTTTGAAAAGATAATTAATTTATACATATAATAATATAGCAGAACTAGAACTGCAATAAAATGCAAAAAGAAAAAAAAAGATTACATCAAAATATTTCATCTCTTTTCAATACCTACAAGCATATTCTCCATAACATTTACCTTCCCAGGAAGTCATCTTTATCTGGATCTTCATCAAAGAGCTCAATCTCTAGCTCCTGTCCTGGATGTTCATATACTAAGGCCTGGAAGTACAGTAAGACGCCATAGTCAATGGTGAAACTAACTAGCTTTGTAAAATGGCATAGTAACAGTAAAACACTGAACTGCAGTGCCTTTGTGTATTAAAACATATCAACAAGCAAATGCTTTAAAAAAGATGCAATTTAATAAGTAGAGCAAGTATAAGAGCTTTTCAGATGCTATTTGCTAATGTTGGCTTTAAGAGACCAGACTGCTTTTTAGAATTACTGATGCTTAGTCTAGACAAAAGTAATGTATACATCAATGGAGAATTTCTGTTTTGTTACAGAACTTTGGGCTTTTAGAGGGAGACATCAAGAAGCATCTCGAGGAAGTCCCCAGAGTAGATTCTTTAACAAAGGAAACTTTAGAAGACAACTGTACAGAACGCACAACAAGGTATTTTTATTGATTATACCTCATAAACTTCATTCCATTTTGGATTGAGATTTTCTTTGATGACCTTGCTTTGGAAAATCTGGTTGCCCACACGGATGATTCCATAAGGATCTGACTTTCCTTTGACAATCCCTTTTAGGTAAGTATCTTTCCCCTCCAAGTCCTGAGCTTCAATAAAGTGTATTCTTAGAACACCCTGAAAAAGGAAAAGATGAGTTTAAGTAGTAATCTGAAAGCCTTCATGTCATCACAATTTATGCAATATCTGTTTTATAATTTCCATTGCGATTTCCTTAACATGAAACTTAGTTTGGACACACTGTAAATGGAGGGATATCAATGATGATCCACATACACAGCAGACCTAGCATTCAAGAGATTCCTGAAAACTGTCATCAACAATCAGAAACATGCCAGTTACATCAAGAAATGCCATGCTACTGGAAGTAAGTAGCAGTAAGTAGTAACAACTTTCAAGTGAAGAGCACTAACAATGATTTGCAGTGATAATATAAAACACGTGCTACTTAATTTATAGTCTGTACAGTTGAACTATATTTTAACAAGTAATATGCTTAAGATTCTAGCAAAACAAAAAAGTCCTTCTTGGCGTTATTATGAAACATTAACTCCACAGAAATTATTTACAAATTAAATCAATTATTTTAAGTGACTGGATTCACAATAACTTGTACTACTGCAATAACTACATTTAGAAATTCACACAGATGTGCGTATCTTTAACAGTTACTGCTAAAGAAAAAACTAAATGCCAAATCATTAGTATTAATAGAAACATACTTACCTTTGGTATAGGAAACCGCAACTGAGCAATCTGCACTTCACTGACAAGGGGGACTGTAATTCTATTTGGAAGGACCAGGTAGTTGGATATTATATCCAATATTATTGTATCTGATAACCCACTGTTGGAGAAAATAATCCTCAGTTACTTCATGAAAATTAAACACATGTTATGTCACATTAATATACTCCTTTTGGTGCTTAACAATCTAAATGGAGAAAACATTTGCCTTTTGGGGGGGGAGGGCGTAGAAGACACATCTGTTTTTTAAACACTTTTTTTTAAATAACGAATTCTTGCCAAAATGGCCACCAGGTGGAAGCAGCTGACACTGAATAGCAGAAACCACAGAGATGAATATAAAGTTCTCATTTCCCTGCCACCGCCAAGTTCCCCCCTCACCCCCACCTTTTAAAGCCACCCAGTGTAAAAGGCTGTTGCATAAGTTTTCTTGCCTGCATCGCATATAACCAAGCAGATGCTAACTGTTAATCTACTTTTGTATTTCAATAATGATTTAACTGTCCCTGAAAGTTTGGCTAACCATTCCTGTATTGTTACGAAACAAGTTGTCCTCTTGAGCTGGGAGGACTGTCATTTAAAACAGAAACACAAAGAAAACATGCTCATGGCTGAGTAAAATATAGCCTAGGGAAGCAAAACAGGTTTTGTTCTGGCAAAAAGGGAGTGGCAGTGCAATCACGTTGGTAATGAATCATTTAAAAACCCAACCCCATAGCCCCCACAAACACAGAAAAGAAAAAGATTTCCTAAGCTACAAATTCACCCCGTTTGGGTCTGAACTAACAACAAATTAGTACGTTTTCAGACCAACACCATTAGTTACAGACGTTGCCTACACTGACAAAAGAGCTGCTTCAGGCATGAATGATTTCTCCTCCTAAATACGCTTTATGATTATCCTTTTACAGTCTTTATGATATTATGATGCAGATAATGTTTGATTACTTCGAACATTTTTCAGATGAGCACTTATTTGTAATCACCTTGTGAAGTTTTTCTAAGATTGAATCTGCAGTTGGGAGTAGCTCTGACTCAGCAGCTAGCATATTTATAAAAACACAAAAGCTGCAGTGAAATGTAATATATATTACATCTTCGTTCAGGAAGAAAATTTTGTGGTGAGCAATAAACATATTATGGTAGAGATGGGTAACAGAATTAACCCATTAAATACAATCTGGCCCATTTCAAATTCACATTGGTCTTTCATGCCAGAGATTTGCAACCTGTATAGCCTGCATCCCCTTGGCTGCCCACTTTCACTGTAAATCCAGATGAACTATGATACATGATAGAACATGGCTGACTTTTTCATGGCATCCAGTACAATAGGAACAGAAGAAACTCAACGCTGCATCAAGATCAATGAACAGGTCTGTGCAGACCTCTGTTTATTCTCTGAAAGAAGCAACAGTGGACAATGTTAAGAGAAAATGCTCAGAGGAAAAGTTTCCTCTTAACTTCTGTGAGTTAATTCACATCTGCCCTAAAGAGGAGTCTTCATTCCCCTTCCTTTCTTGCAGAGCTTATCCAATCATATTTACAAAGATTTTCATTCTACATGAACACTGAACCCTACAAATTTAGTTTCAGTAATTCTTAAGACAGCTACTACAAGAAGATAATTATGTTATTTGAAAATAAATAGCTTCCTTTAGTCATCATTGTGACACATGTTGCTTTTCAAACTTTTTCAGTTCCGTTTTGCTAAACATCAAGTTTTCAACTTATGTATGCTAAACTTTCCCTAAAATGAGCCAAAAAAAATAGAACCAATTATTTTGTTAGAGTTGACTTAAAAATTTAAGATAAACATCTCAAACAGTCTTAACATTAAAAGGAAGAAAAAATAAAAAGCTGAGGTAATGGTAACTACACAAGCAACAATCACACTTTTCAAAATACAAGTCTGATGACAAATCTCCAGCAGAGAGATCAGATAAGTTTGTTTTGTTCATGCTTTTGTTAGTGTCCCTACCTGGCAAGAAGAGAAGGCTCTGCCTTTATGCTCAGTAAAGTGCATGCCTTAAGAACAGATGATTAATGGAGAAAACTAATTGACCTAGGTCAGAGAAAGCGAATGAGCAGTGCAAGAGGCAATGGTATCAGAGCTGCCTTGAAAGAAAGGTTATCGTGCTCTTCTCTAGTTTTTAGTTAAGATCACATACATTATGAAATAAGCTACAGGCATAAATAAACCTATCCTAGACTAGCAAAAGGTTCAGAGATTGATTAATGTTCAAATGGAGCTACAGGAGATCTCCTTAAATAAGAGAAAGAAACAGCCTGAAGCACAACAGAGCCCAGTCACTTGGAGGATTAGCAATCCTTTATGCTAGGACCAAACCCCAAACCTGTGATTCCAAAGGTCAGTCTCACAATTTTATCCCAACATAAATGCTTGAATTTCACTAAAACATCTGAGAAATTAATATGAAAAATGAACCAGCATTAATGGAATTTCACAGAATTTTACACAGAGAAACTGGACTCAGAGGAGGTAGCAGATACTCAGTCTTTAAAAACAGGGAGCTGAAAAAGAATACCGAAGGTCGTAACTAAGTAATGAATTAAATGAATTCTAAAACAACATGACACTTTCAAGCTGTTTAAAACTTATCTAACCAAATATTAGCCAACTGGGATGCTCCCAGCTGGAAAGTATTCTTCGTGAATACAAAGCAAAAATTACAATCTTTTTTATTATTTTATTACTTAAACTAAAAGGTCTGATCTATGAGATCAGATACAGAGACAAATCACTGATCAAGCAACAGAGAAAGATGTATCTATTTAAACTCTTATGTTGATGCATCATCAATAAGCAGCTTCTTAAGATCATAAAACTCTTAAGTCATTGATACTAAGTCAATTATTTTTTCAAAAAAATGAGAGAAGTGTGAAATACTTCAGATAGTTTATTATAGTAAATGTCTTCAAAAGCTCAATTTCATTGCAAAAAAATAATTGGCAGTTACCTACTCTGTTGTATTGCTCTCTATTTAGCTCTACTTAATTTTTAGCGACAAAATAAGCAGCTATGTATTTTCCCTGCATCGTCTGTATTCATACTGCAGAGACAGCACATCTCTCTCTGCATAGAGTATTTTTACTACATCTCAAGCAACCATAACAGAATTCATCTTCCCATCATCCACATCCTCTCCTGACATCACTTGAGTATTCTCACAGCCTGCTCCTCCTCACATAGAGATTTTAATTCCACTCCTCCGTAAGCTATACTAATGATGGAATATGAATTACTTTTGTGTCCTTCTCCTTGTGAAGTCATATATGAAGAGCAATAGAAGTTGTTAATAGCTGACAGGGAAGCTTCCAGCAGCAAATGCAAAAATTCATTTAGCAGAAGACATTTGCAAACAGAGTACAAGTAAGTAGTTTAGTGTGCAGCAACATCTGTAGGACAAAAAGGGTACCTGTGGTGGCAGCAATCTCTTGTTCATCATTGTTCATAACAACTACAGTATGTTAAGCTATCATACCAAAATATACAATCTATCTATACAAATAAGAAAAACAAGCACTGAAGAAATCTCTTGGCAAGGCAGAGCATGAGTCACCTTAGTTACAGTTACTATAGAAACTATACCACATCTAGATGGCTCCATTATATGCATATGTGGCCAAGCTTGGTTACTCTGGAAACCATAAACTTGAGATACTTAGCAAGACTTTGTTTACATTTGAGGTTTTGTGTTTGCAGTCAGGAAAACATCTAGCATGATATTAATCTCAGGAGCCTAGTAAGCCTAAGTACTAAACGTAAATTTATTAGTGTTATATCAAAATAGCAAATTATTACTCAGGAGCTGTACTTTGGAAGCCATTTTCTCACTCATCAAGAAAACCTCTTTCCTCAGAGGCAGTCTTAAGCAGGCTTGAAACAGAAGCAATTCTTGCAGCCATTAACCTACTTAATGCAAGTTCTAATTTCAAACTGTTCAACTGGGATTCCATGCAATGGTTTCACATGTCTAAGTAAAGCAAAAACCGTTTCAGTCACGCACTAAAGGATTAATTTAATACCTAAATTCAAACTCCTGTTTTTAAACAATAAAAAATAATTCTGGAGTCAGCCAACTCTTGACAGTAAAAGGGCTAGTCACAAAATCCAAGTGTGTATCAGACCCACCATTATCCCCTTAGACATTGTCTCAATATTAAAAAGCCCCTGGGTAACTATTACAATTTGATAATTATTAATATATTCATGGATTTAACCTGCAATGATTCAAAACAGCTTGGTTTTCACCTCTGCTTCTGCTTTTTTCTTTGGGGTTTTATCATGTACTGTTCTGAAAAGCTCTAAATAAGCCAAGTATTTTTTCTAGTTATATATGGTCAATATTTTTGCTAGTCCATTTGATCTTCGCATAATACACTGAAAACTTTAAAAGTAAGTACTTGAAGAGATTAGAAAGTTTATTTAATTTGATTACTGTCTTAAGGTATTTCTAACTACTTTTACACAAGCAACTAGAGATGTATCAACATACAAAAACGTAAGCCAAGATGGCATGAAAAATAAGGCTTTTTGTCTTTCTGCTATCCTAGGAGATGGCAGATAGGAAACACACAAGATTCTGGAAATCTGGAAAGGCTGAGAACACTAAAAAAAAAAGATTAAAAATTATCTTTCAAAATGTTTTTAACAAGACCTACTAGGTATACTTCTGATGTACTTTCATATGTAGTGAAATCACTACCTTCTGCATATTGAGCAATTTCATATAATTCTAAATTAAGAGATAACTGCTCACAGTCATTTAACCTAGAATTATTTAGCTGATGGTCTTCAGATTTTCTGGGGTGTATTGGGGTGGAGGAATATCAAACACTGCTTCACATATACTCACTTCAGTCCTGGAACATCCAGAAGATTGGTCAGTCCAGTCCAGTTAATTTCCAAAAGCTGTGGATTACAGAGAAAAGAGAGAGGGACAAAAAAAGAAAAAAAGAAAAGCAACTTAAAATTCACAACACTGAATAAATAAACCTTATCACTATAGATTCTGATCACTGAAGGGTTAATAACCAGTTTCCAGGATTTTCTTAAACAGAAAACCAAAACCTCTTCCATGCTAAAAATCTTTTGCCATGGTTTTTAAAAGAGAGTTATAAAAACAACTCACCATCCTCTTACACACACCTCCACACATACATACAAATACACACACGCACACCCCAATATACACTTGTACATAATATCTACTACATACAACCAACATCAAATAATGAAATGTGGTCCTATTTTCTGGAGAAATATTTTAATATTCACCATAGAATTGTTATAGATGAACAGTCACCAACATGACTTTGCAAAGCAGAATAAACTGATGAAGAATCCCATTTGAGACCAGGAAAATGAGAGATCAAGAAGACGTGACCAACGGAAAGAATGAAGGATTGGGATTGAGAAGGTGGAAGGAGGATGTGACAACAGCTTGCAAACACAGAGAAGGCTGTTTTCAATGACAAGGAGACAAATTCATTCTACCACTGATGCAGTAAAGAAGAAAGGTATTAACAGGATTAAGTATCGAAGTGAGAAAAATCCTCAGAAATAATTAATAACTCATTGCTAGATCATACATACTTCCTCCACTGAAAATCTTTACAGAATATTAGACATACAAATGCTATAAAGATACATTATTCTGTTTCAGGGCTGCTAGCATTAACAACTAATTTCTAATGTCCTTTTCAATCCTATAATCTTCTCATTCTAGATAACAAAACTAATAGAACCGAGTTTCCTTATCCCCCTTCTCAGTAAAAACTTTTTATTAACTCCATAGAAGTTAATTGAATATAAGCAACAAACAAATCCAAACCCATCCAACTACCACCATGCTTCCAAATCCAAATAACCCAATCTAAGAAAACCTGCATGGAAAAAATTAAAAGGATTTTGAGATTCCTCAGTTAAGAAACTAATTGTGATGGTTCAGTTAAATGCTGAATCTCTACAAGAACCTATGTTGCATCTTTCCACAAACAGGCAAGAAGAATCACCCTATATTCATTTTCTACTAACAAAACCCACCACATTCCATTCTTTATAAAGGATCTATTAATACTTTAATTAGTGATTTCCTCTGTGAATACTTTGACTAAAGATAACACATAATACATTTACTTACATAAGGAGCACTGTTACTTAATATACTTTTGTAATGGTGGCCAAACATTTCAACGTTATCTATGAAGCACCTAGCCTACCTGTAACAAACAATTAAGCAGAAAAAAATCATTATCCTTTCTTCAGCGGAAAAGGTAGTAAGATTTAATAACTGAATATTCCAAAACAAAAGGCAAGACGTATCATGGGATGTACTGCAAGAATCTACACAAGCCAGAAACATGCCCTTGCCACAAAGGCGGCTAATGCTATCCTGGGCTGCATTAGGCAAAGCATTGCCAGCAGGCCAAGGAAGGTGATCCTTCCCCTCTACTCAGCCCTGGTGAGGCCACACCTGGAGTGCTGGGTCCAGTTCTGCGCTCCTCAGCATATGGACATACTGGAGAGAGTCCAACAAAGAGCCATGAAGATGATTAAGCGACTGAGGCATCTGTCCTATAAGAAAAGGCTGAGAGAGCTGGGGCTGTTTAGCCTGGAGAAGAGAAGGCTCGGAGAGATCTTATTAATGTCTATAAATACCTGAAGGGAGGGTGCAAAGAACAGAGTGCCAGGCTCTTCTCAATGGTGCCCACGGGCAGGACTAGAGGCAATGGGCACAAACTGAAACACAGGAGGTTCTCTGAAAATCAGGAAACACTTTTTTACTGTGAGGGTGACTGAGCGCTGGAGCACATTGCCCAGAGAGGTTGTGGAGTCCCCATCCTTGGAGATATTCAAAAGTCATCCAGACATAATACTGGGCCATCAGCTCTAGGTGGCCCTGCTTGAGGAAGGGGGTTGGACCAGATGACTTCCAGAGGTCCCTGCCAACCTCAACTATTCTATGAGTCCGTGAACATATATGGAGTGACTACATCAGTGGACATTGGAAGGGCTACTGATGCCGTCTATCTGGACCTCTGTAAGGCCTTTGACACGGTCCCCCACAACATCCTTCTCTCTAAACTGGAGAAGTATGGATTTGATGGGTGGACTGTCCAGTGG